TCGCCATATTTTGCCTATTTGGGGGAAGGGATTTTAATTCTCTTCCATGTTCCCATTTTGAGTTGTTTTTGCTTATCGAATCTAGAAGATTTATTCCATCATTCGGATGGTCCGAGGTCATTTGACCATTTTCGATCGGAGGACCTATTCTACCGTTCAAATGATCTAGGGTCAATTGACCATTTTTGGTCGATAAGCTTTCGATATGGGTGACTTTTGACCTCGGCATAGTCTCAACTAGAAGAATGATATTTATGACCCCATGAGCTATAAGCCCTTATGGCTTGGTCCCTAATCCTTTCTAATCGAGCCGGGGTTTCTTTGATGGAGACTATAGGATCCCATACGATCCGGTGAGTGAAGATCATTTCCTTCAACCTTTCGTACATTTGTCATAAAACCCCTTATCGATATGATCCTTTTCATCTTCGACCACTCCTCGACACATGGCCTTTTTGAGGCCATCTTAGTATGAGTGGATGACTGCAGTGTGTGTTTTTATGAATCATCTTTTGATGATTCGACCGATCTTGGCCCCGTCTATAGGCCAAAGTACCATTTTGAAGCCAAACCTTTGTTTTTTTGACTATTTTTTGACTTTATCGACATATGATTCTAGGTCTAGATAAGCCAAAACTAGAGCCACTTCCTTTGTATTTGTCGAGTCATACTAGTCATAATCTCTATGACTGTTCGGGAAATCCATGAAATTGTGGTATTTGTTTATGGTGTGGAGAGTGGTAATGTGCCATTTACGGTAGTGGTCAAGCTCTAGATCTTCAAAATGAGAAAATCTCGGTGCTCCTTTTCTAACTAGTCGATTGAAAACCCGATAGCCACCTTGGTGGCTTATGTTACGACAAGCAACTCTTGCAATTCATACATATCAAAAACATCCAAAGTCGGGACATCAATAACCTTAGGACATGGATTGTTATTTACTTTTATAACTTCTTCTTTTTCGGGAAAAGTTAATTCTTTTGACTCTATTAAGTCTTGAATTAAATTCCTAAACAAGATGCAATTGTTTGTAGAATGTGATATAATACTATGCCATTTATAGAATTTCCCTTTTTCATTTCTTCGGGGGTAGGCAATTTATGTTTTCCTTTGATCTTAATCCTATTTTTGGCTAAAAGTCAATTAAAGATTAAATCTGTCTTATCTAGATCGAAAGAATACTTGCGATCTTCTTTAGATTTAAAGCCTATAGGGGCTTATATATTCTTTCTAGCCAATTGTTTGCATACTATTGGCTTTCCTTTAATAAAGTCCGTAAAATCGACATCGACTATGGAAGAATCTTGATAATACGTTTCGATCATAGTACTTTTTTGTAATGATTCTTCTCACGGAATTACTTCGAATTTGAAGGCTCTCTTTGTCAACTAGTATAAGTCTTAGAAGATCATACCCTCGAACTTTTTCCCGAGTTTAAAATCTAAACCATCCTATATGAAACGTAAAAATTCACTTTCGAGCAGATTGACTTGGTATCGAACTCTAGCCCTCCCGAATCTTATCACAAACTACTTTGCTGATTTGCCTTGAAACTCGTTTCAATCTAGCTAATTCTTCCATTGAAACTTCGGGATCGGTCCTTAAAAGCTGTACTTAGAAAGCATTCTACATATTCCATCATATAAAAATGGAATGAGATAATAGATTAATGTACCAAGTGAAAGCGACGGTAGTTAAGGAACTAGGAAAAAGATGGAGCTTCAAAAAATCGTCTCCCGAAAATTTTCCACACTAGAAGGTGAATCTAACGACATGTTCTAAAGCGAAAACGTTATCTTCACTAGAGAGCAATGTAAGTTCAAGGGCCCCGAATCCTTTTGGGAAAGGATATTCTCGATCGACATAATTAGGATATGATTTTCTATAAACCGATCGATTTACCCTTTGTATACGTGGTCCATACATTCTCTCGATCATGTTGGCTAATGCTTCTCGATTCATATCCCCATAAACATTCCCGGGACCAAGTTGTGGCATCCGATTTTTTCCTATTGCTATGGCCATATTTGGCACATTCCGTGGTGGGACATTGATGGGGGGTCTTGGAGGGATGTTTGGAATAGGACCATAATATTATGTAAAAGCGAGTAATTGCTAGCTTGGTTCGGTTAGCGGGGGTACTTGAGGAGGATAGCCATTAGGTTGGCTAATAAGTGGTACATGAGGCATATAGCCATTAGTTTGGCTAACGGGATTGCCAAGAGGTGTTTGAGGATGATAGCCGTTAGCTTGGCTAACAAGTGGTGTATAAGGTGGATAACCGGTATTTTGGCTAACGGGATTGCCGGGAGATACTTGAGGATGATACGTAGGTAGTTGGGTAGGTGGTTGGGTAGGATAACTAGAGGTTTGGCCATAATGGGTCCGTGTGTACGGACTTTATGGTGGGTCCTAACCACTCCTATCGAAGGCTCTGTTGGAGACGGTAGGTGGATACCATAGAGGAATGCTTGTCGCTCCGGTTGAACATGCTCCATGTCCATCTTCGACCACCTCTTTCTCTTTTCCTTCGTCGAACTACCGGGCGCCTAACATCTTCTCTCATCAATCGAGTAGCATTTTTAGCGGCATCAAACCTTGTTCAATGGCAATTTCAACTTCTTTGGCCACTGTTTAGCCAATGGGTCGATAGTCTCACCGAACAAGTGATTCACATATGCAATCACCCTGTTGCTATGATAATGCATACATTCCGTCATTTTGACAATATGGTGATTGGCCATATCCATGCTCTTTTGTGATGATTCGGCTATGAAAGCTCTCATTTTATCGATGTCTTCTTTAAGCTGATTTGACACTAGCTGCAAGTGTCAATTTATTTGAGTACCTATGTCCACAGTTGGATTATAGATTTTGTTGAGCGATTCTTTCATTCGTTTCAACAACATCCGTTGAACATCAAAATTTGGTTCGTTCGCTACTACGTCTTGTCCCCTATTAGTAGAGGCATCGCTCCCTTCTAGGTTTTTAGGCTCTTGACTTCCAATACTAAATTTATTTCGAGTCATTGTTATGGCTTTTGTTTGCTATACTTTTAGGTAATCCCTCTTGGTCACCCATAGCTTCGTCCACCGGTGTGGTTTCCTATGTTTCTTTTTTCTTTTAGAGGCACATTTTCGAAAAATTAGACCATTCCTTTGACAAAAACTGATTGTATTTCATCGAGTTGGTCTTCTCCAGGTGGTTAGACGTTTCGTCATGCTTCTTGTAATACCATGTTTTGACATTGAATCTTCCATTGTGGTCGCCAAAACTTGTTCGTCGCTTGTCGAATTTGGTTTTAAATGTTGAGTAAATTGAAACTTTAATTTATAACCAAGTACTTCATGAGGAAATAATAGAGGGTTCAATGTCGCCTAGTAAACCATTAGGGCTTTTATGTGGTATCTCGAATTGAATGATAAAATTGATGATAAAAAGAGAATGTGATAAACCGAGATATAAATATTATAGATTAAAAGATACAACTCTTACATCAACAGTTTTGGATGCTCGCCATTTGGTAATACTTGAAGTAGAAATCTCAAGTTATTGAAAAGCGAGAATAAACACTATCGATCTACTTTACATGAATGTAAGGTTATTCTAAAGGATAAAAGTAAATTTCGGAGAAGTCTTCCCGTTCTTTTTGTTTTTCTTCTCCCTTCTTTTAAACCATTGTCAATTGATAATTGCTCGAAAACTTAATTTTAAGCACGAACGAGTTATGAAGTTTTATCCCCTTTTCTTGTTTGTTGATATCCGTTGGTTTGTGAAACCAAACGGATCTCTATTTCGTCGATATCAACTAGTTTGTGAAACAAAACACATTGTTTCATTGTAAACCTCTATCTAGTTGACATTGGTTGTTTTGTAAACTAAATGCATCATTTTATTTATGATCCTTAAATCCGTGTCCGTCGATATCGGTTGGTTTGTGAATCCAAACGTATCGTTTTATTAAGACTGCGAGAATGCATCATTCGGTTAAGGTGCGGCGTTTTGTAATGTCGACTCTAATTGACACGTGGCCTAAATTTATGTATCGTCGTTGTTAATCGACAAAAAAAAAAAAAAAAAAATTCAATTATCCTTCTAATGCACCTCATTAATGGCCCGATCATTATATATATATATATATGCGGATTATTAGAATCCAATCGGATTCGACATATGACAATTAATCCTTAATATGCCAAAGAATTTGAAAGAACAAAATTATAAATCAAATTTTATATGCACACGAAAACTTGAACATATTCATCATGAGCCCAAAAGCAATTTATGCCCTAATGAAAATGACAAGATAGTTTTGATGCCACATATAACATAATTAAATATGTTCAAATATATTATCACAACAGAAATTAATATATATATATATATCTTTTGTCATAATTGATTAAATAGTTAAGTAATTGTCTAAAAAAAATTAATGCTGTCGAGAAGAAAAGATCTATTAGTCTATACAAATAATTTAGGTTTTTATTTGTGAATGGATGATGCATAATTTTATATAATAATTATATAGTTAGGTTAGGAACCTTTTTTAACCTAATTTTTGCATTTCTTTCCATCTTGGATATGTTGAATTCTCTACTAAGTCCAATAAGCTCTAAATCTTTAAATATCACTAAAATATTTTATTTAAAATAAAATTTATACCATATAATATTAATTTAAAACAGTAAATGACATATAAGTCCCATTAAAAGATATTTTTTACATGACACTAATCAAAGGAATCAGAAAAATAACATATGATTGCCAAAAGGAACGATGGAAAATAGAAATCGAGCCAATCACAGAATTACTATTATAGTCTGTCTTCTGCTTGTCCATGGAAGAAAAGACAAAAATTTCAACAGAAAAGTTCTAATCAGATTGGTCAAATTAATCTTCAAGTTCTGCATGGTTAGAGAAGGGAAAAAAAGGTGGAATATGATTGTAATTCGTACTCAGATCCTTACGCAAGTTTTATTTATATTACGTTGCCATCATTATTCCATCTGGTAGACAACAGTTAGAACACCATAGCATCACAACAACGAAGATGCTGAATGTTGAGAGCAAAGTCTGAAGTTATTCCTTGCTTATGTGTCATCCTTGTATTCCATGCACGTTGACAGACTTCATCTCAGTTGGTTTTGTTCCACGAAATAAAGTTTGAGCTAGGTCCCTTTTTAGTATATGGAATCCTAGGCCTTCCTCTTGGGATAATTATAGGTCTACAAAAGACTAAAGCGAACATAAGCTCGGTCAGAAACAGGATGATACTAATCCATACAAAAATAGTTCTCTTCCAAAGCCAGATAAGCCTTCTCAATTGAGGGAGCTCTGATTCCAGTGACAGTGATGCTGCGTAAACTTCTGGGATGCCAGCCCCGGCTTTGTATTCTGCTCGCTGTTCTAACATCACCTTCAAGTAGGCTGTTGGCTCAAGTCCTTCAGTGAATTCATCCATTTTTATATTCAGAATCTGGGCTTCTGATACAAAACCAGCTATGATAGGAGCACTCTTAATGATGGTTTCAACAACGCGGATGGGTTGGCTTTTGAACCGCATTATGCATGGCTGTCTTAAACTTGCAGTGACTTCACCTCTTGCTGACAGGAACTCAACCCTCACCTGAAGGAATTAATGAGAACAAAGTGTAATATACCATAGTTTTAAAAATACGTAACGCCGTTACGCATATATATTTGCAAATAATTTTTTTTTTAATTTTTGAAAGAATTTGTTATTAATTTTATAATTAATGCTTTTCTTTTTTGTGAATATCTTTATTTTATATAATTTAATATTGTGAATATGTGTATTAAACCTACACAATTTTAAATTTCTATTGATATTTAAATTAATTACTTTCATTATTTATTTAATTAATAAAACTATTAAAAATATATAAATTAGAATAAACTTATTAATAGTTATTAATATATTCAGACCGTTATTTTATTACTAAAATCGTGGTTGTGATTATTTTTCAACTGTAACCGTTGTTTATAACTGTATATGTAATATCCTACTGCAAACATAAAGATTGATTGTGAAGTCTTACAAAGATATTGGAATGTCTTTTCCAAGTAGTTGTTAAGTATTAGGTATAACATCAAACAGAAAGGCAGAGAAAGCAGGCTTAAGAAAACAAAATGAATGTATTGCAATATTCAAGATTTATAACTTTCAAAATGAGACGTAATACCTGAAATACGCCAAGTTTTCGATTGTACTCGGACTCGGGCATCACAAAGGCAAGTGTGAGCTGCAACTTGTGATTATGAGGAACAAAGCGAGCCCCGATTAGCTTCCCAGCTTCTACATTGTCTTTAGCTACTAGGCTAGAAATATCACCAACACCAGAGAGACGCATTATAGGCACGAATGCTACAGGATTAGTCTTTGTGTAATCGAAATTCAGGGTTTCCGTTGTCTGAACAGGCTTCTCAACCAGGTTCATCATCACTATACCCCCAAATACAAATCCTGATGCTAGCAATCCTAGAAGCATGAGAAAGACATAGGTTGACCAGAAGAATCCGCAGCCAAACCTCATTGCAATATTTCCTATCGATTGCTGCGCTTTCTGACTGACATTCCTGCTAGAAATGCCCCACCATCTAAACAGCTTCTTCATGAAATACCCTCTAGCATGTCTTAGAGTTTGGAATGGAAACATCACGACCAAGAACGAAAAGTAAGATAACCATATTGGAAATGTGAAAAAGCTAACCAAAAGATTGAACTGAAAACCCATGAACTTCATCAATACTACTGCAAAGAAAGCAAGAAAGTTGAAAGGAAATTCAGAGTAGTTTCCTGAAGGAGAATTAACCACTTCAGAGACATCAACATACTCTTTGTTCCACTCATTAGTAACACCAAACCCATCTTTGATTGGTTCCAGCACGTCACTGCCCATTTTAGCACCAACCATTTCCTTCTGTTGCAAGGCACCACTAGTTTTACCTCTCTTCTGTTCAAAAGCACATTCTCCATAAACATAACAACCTTTTGAACCAGAGCCCCAATCCTTCCCTCTTTCACCTGAAAAACTCCGTTGAAGAGCACGTGATGACACGCGTTGCCCAAAGCCAATGCCAAACAAATTTCGTTTCGAGAACTTTCGATCTAAGAACACCTTGTCAGCTCCATTTATAGCAAATTTCAGCAGGCAACATTTCAGCGCATCGCAAAGACTCAATGAGTCCACATAAGTCTTGCCATCAAATTCAAAAAATTCATTCCTATCATGGATTGGCACATCATCATGATCATTTTCTTGGAGTTTTGATTCATCCATTGCAATAATTTGCAAAGAGAGAAGTTGGGCTAATGAGTGCACAAGGGAGAGGCAACGTGGTACTTTGAAGAGTCAAATAACAGAAGAGGCTTTGTGGTGTACAATGGGATTTTTAACTGCAAAATGAAATTTATAGGAGGGAAATGATAACAGGCACCATTGTTATTTTCTTGGGATGCTAAAAGATTGGAGAATTTGGCTCAGTTGATGCATTAACCAATGGGATGGCGGGGCTCTGGAGATGGGGTTTGATTGGTTAATTTTCACGCCAATTCTCTAGATGAGGGGGTCAGGATATATAAGTTGCAGTGCGACACACATTTCAACATTTCTCTATGCCTTATCAGATATTTAGGGCATGATTCAATAGAATAGTACTGCATGCATATGCTAGCTAGCTGTGACATACCCTTAAAAAAATATATATACGAAGAAGCACTTAGATTGGGCTATAGCCTGCAAATTAATGTTACCCCTTGTTAGAACAAAAATTCTACATTGAATAGTTAAACCAAAGATAATTAATATATAAAATTGAGAAGGGGTCACTCACCATAAGACTTAAGTCCTATGTATGTAATTCAATCTCAACTATCTAACTTTTTATGGTATCAAAATTTTAAAAAGTTTAACGACTTTTCAAAGATCCCGAAACCCAAGCCATTTAACCTAACATTTTATGTTAATATTATCCCTCACCAGTAGGGTTTTTATACTCAATGGATAATTACTCTCTCTTTATTTATTTATTTATTGAATTGGATATTAATAATCCTTGAATAAGATATTTCTAGTTAATCCAGACTGAATCTTTACTCAAATTATCTTTAGAGGGCACCTCTATGTCAATTTAGTACATTTAAAATAATTTAATAATTTTTTTGAGTGCTAATTCTGAAATTTAAATTTATAAAATTAATAAATAAAACAAATCTCTTTGACTGTCAGACCAATTTCTCATTTTTATGAAAATTGGAATTTTGGCCTGGCAGTCGTGGAATGGAAGAAAGCGTGTATTGATTGGCTTCAACCTGTTTTCGTCTTAATGATCAAAACCATAAATTATACAATTAAGTAATTCAACTCTGTCAAATATACATTAAAAAACAAAATAATTACAAGAAGGGATTTAATATACACTGTCAAAAAAAAAAAAAAAAAAAAAAAAGATACATTGTTCAAATTCTCTTTAGCTAGGATCATGAAAAAATGCATCTATACAAAAAGCAATCTGCAGATTGGAAAAATGGTGACACACTGCTGACATTGCCAATTCGAAAGACCAAGCTCTCAAATGCTATTTTTTTTTCTTTTTTCACCAAAGAATCAGCACAAACCAGAATAAATCCTTTCAAACATATTTCTTGATTTCTCAGCCATCCTAATTGCAAACTCAGAATACGAGACCAGAAAACGAACCAAAAGAAATGGTGGGACTATTTCATCAATTTCCATTGATCAATCTAAGTTGATGTCGTAAAGATCCTTAAGAAGCTTGCTTGATGAAGAATCTACTATCTCGTCTTGACTTTGAATAGAAACTTCGGAATCGATCCACGGTCCGTCCATTGATATGCTTTTCTGCATCTGACTGCTTTGAGATCCATTTGAGACGTGTGTTTGGCTATCTTGTGAGAGAAGCTCAAAGGCTTTGAACCTTGCATCCTGGTTCATGGTACTGCGCTTGACTATTGGAGCTTGGACTGGAATTTGACCCTCGAGCATACTCACTGCAGAAGAAATTGATGGCCTCAAAGTAGGAGATGGGTTGGTGCACAAGAGAGCCAAGTTAAGCATCCTCATTGCCTCTTTTTTTGAGTAGTTTGAACCAAGGCTTGGATCCACAAGCTCAAGAAGGTTGCCTTGCTCTTGCAGGACATAGGCCTACAATTACATGTCAAGGGGAAAGAAAGCAGTTCAGCATTCATGCTTTGTAATTAAGAATAGTCATGGAGTTTTCCTACAACAGTTTATGGATGCAATCATGCAAAAGATAGATAGAAGGGAATGCATATAGAAAGAAAGGGTTGAGGAATTCCCAGTTGGGAACTTCCAGAGATAAGCAATTTCCTATTTTCATCTCGGCACAACCTTCTCTAGGATTACATGATACTAATTTCTGGAATTTCAGACATCATACAATTTTCAACTTCAATAAATTATTTCGAGGGTAATATGCTTTTTCCATCGGTCACCAGTCACGGTCATTGGTGGTCAGGCGTATGTGTAAAATGTGTAGAAAGCAATGTGAAAGGTATAGATATAGGTTACCCAATCAAGAAGATAAACAAACTCCTCCTTCGGCCTGTAATTTGTGTTGCTCTTCCCACTGACAATTTCTAAAACAACAACTCCAAAGCTGTAAACATCTGCCTTATCTGTCAAGTAACCCCTCATTGCATATTCTGGAGCCATATAACCTCTGAAGAGAAAATAGAGAGAACAAGAACAGTAAGTGTTGGCCATGAGCTAGTGGAATAAGTTTATATGTACTTTTCATCGTTTAATTGTATACAAGGAAGAGAGAGACTCACATTGTCCCAGCAATTCGCGTGCTAATATGAGTGTTTTCTTCTTCATCAAGCTTAGCTAAACCAAAGTCAGATATCTTGGCATTTAGATCTTTATCAAGCAGGACATTAGTTGCCTTGATGTCTCTGTGTACAATTTTCAGCCTTGACTCTTCGTGAAGATAAGCTAATCCCTTTGCAATACCCAACAATATCTTCTTTCTTGTTTGCCAGTCCAATTTAATCTGGTGTTCATCACGACCTAATAGACAAGACACAGAGGAATATAGAAAACAACTCAATCTCATTCTCATTCTATAGACTACATAACCTGATACATTAAGGAGTTGGTCAAGCAATTACCAAAAAGTGCCCGAGCAAGACTATTGTTTTCCAAGTATTCATATACTAACAACAACTGATTTCCTTCAATACAACAACCATACAGCCTCACAAGATGGGGATGTTGCAAGGCAGATATCATGCCTATCTCATTCACAAATTCACGGTTTCCTTGTTTCGATTTGGCCGATAACTGCTTAACAGCAATTACAGAACCATCTGACAACACACCCTGAAATAAAACAGACTGAAATTTCAGAATATTTTAAAAGATCACACTTCTCTACTATCACAAACTTTTGCATGTGTAATAAATTTTACACAAGGTCCTACATGGTAGAACATGTTGTCAGCACGTAACTAAGTGAAAAGTAAATTGGAAAATTCTTCAATACCTTGTAAACTGGACCAAATCCTCCTTCTCCTATCTTATTTGCAGGGTCAAAATTATTGGTAGCATGCTTAATTTGCCTTAAGCTGAAATAACCAGTTTGGAGATCCAAAGCCCGAAGTTCTGTGGTAAGCATAATCTCAAAATCAACATGACAGGGCTAATGGAAAGTTCTACAGCATGCACACAATAAAAAAAGAAACATAATTCTCGCGCGATTAACCTTACCTTTATCTTCAAGGTCCTTCCCTCCCAAGTAACCTTTCTTCCAGAGGACCAGCAAAACCAATGCAGCAAGCACACATGAAGCAGCTACAATGCCGATAATAGCTCCAACTGATAATCCGCTACCATTATCCACCTTAAAGTCTACAAGGAGGGAATTAACTTAAATAACATTAAGTCCATTGATAGAAAACAAAAAATCCTTGATTTTGTCACATGACTTACTTGGAGTCACTGTAATGGCGGATATGAGAGGTCCATAGACACCTCTGTCAGGAACAGCAGTAGTACCTTTGCCTGACCAGTATAAGTTTATCTCCAGTGTGCTACCATTAACAGTTATATTATTGAATACCCTAGTGATGCCAACACCAACCCCTCCAGCTTCCTCCATAATATTGAAATTTGTCTCAACTATCTTCCCCTGCAGGAAGAAGTCCTGAGTGTAGCTTTACAGGTTTTAAACAGTGTTACCATCCTTTTCTATGCAAACTTGAAAAGGATCCAAAACACATGGTAGGCTTCATGAGGGTATTTAGAAATACAATCATAGATAAAAAGAAAAATCCTAAATGAATATGCTAATTTGAAAATGATTTTACTCACTTGAATTGATATATCGAATATGCGCCTCCCAAGGCTGCTAAAAGTCTGATTATTAGAATACATAATTTCAGCAAAGTGGAGCTGCACTTTGTAACTGCCCGGCCGCATGCACAGAGCATAGTACTTGAGCGATTGAGGAGCAAGGCGAGCAGTTCGGTAAAAACCTTCACCAGTCACATTCAGACCAAAAGAATTTGTTGCTATGTAAGCACCTTTATCATTTCCCATATGAGTCCCAGTACTGCTATAACCCCATCTTTCTGATAAAGAGGAAAATTCAGCTGCCCCCCTGGAGTTGTGTCTTCTTCATATTCTTTATCACCAACACTCATACTGTTCCCTCCACAGTTTATGAACAAGGAATGGTCTGCAGAACAAAGGATCAGTATCCTAAGGTGCCTTCCCTAGCACAACAAGTATCCTGTATTTATGTAATTACCCTTTCATCAAACATCATTGTGCAGTTTCTACATACTTACGTTGAGGTTTTCTTGTGCAAATAAGATCCTTGTTCAAGCACCAAGAAATCCTGTGAACAAGAATTAAGGTTGTCAGATTCAAATTTCTAGAGTTTTCACAAGGAATTTTAGTGAACGTGGAACTTACTTGTTTTTCCCAGTTGATACATGACTAGAAACTAAGTTCCTGTTGAATATTAAAATAGAAGTTAGCAATCAACATGAGACAAAGGATGAGAAACAAGTAATGAGCAAAAATAATGCCTACACTGGTAGCTGTTGACAACTTGGTTGAGCTGACCCAGTAAAATTGTTGTAAGATAAATCCCTGAAATAAAATTGTTGTAAGACATGGGTAATATAGTTGTTGACTGACGAGAATAAAGATTGGCGCATTTCTTGTACGAAGAAACATTAAAAAACTTTGGTAACTTCTATCAAATTCTGAAAAACATTGCAACCAAATAATATAAATATGTATAGCTTCATGATAGACTCACAATTCGTTCCTGCTGTTCAATATCCAACCAGGCACTTCTCCAGTTAGTAAGTTGTCATTCAGAAACCTACACACATTAAACAGGTAATGAACCAGCAAGCTGTCAATATGAGAAATATATTAAAAATTAAGATCCTGTGCATTTCAGCATGATTTATTCGATGCATTTATTGACTTACATGAACCGTAGCTTTGTCAAGCTCTCTAATGGGTCAGGAATTTGGCCTGTCAACTTGTTGAAGCTCAAATCTCTGCAAAGAAATATACACAAATTAATGAAATCACATGAGAAAAGTACAACGTAAAATTAGCTCTGACAAATAAAAACACGAGGCAATCTAATTCACACAAAATCAGGCCAGTCCATTTTGTCAGACTAACAATATTAAAAGTACTATTACATCCTCTGCAACATGGCTTCTTTGAACAAATGAGCCCCCACCATCATGATCACATCTTGAATAATCCAGACTATATGCAGGTATAGTTCATGCTCACAAACTGCATATGGAGGGTTCGTAGCCCGATATGAATGAACCTCACATACACATACAACATGAATTTCTACTACTCCTAAACGTTAAGATGTCTTCCACATTTTATTACGTTGTTATAATGTGGTCGCATGCGCCCATAGCATCTCAGATAATGTATCAGGCTTAGATTGTAATCCTTCCGACCACACTCTGTGAGAATCTAAAATAAGGAAAAATGAGATGCAAAACTGCCCCAGTTATGAAAGAGGAAAAGGCTGGAGCTTCATGGTCAGCTCCTAAACAGTTGGGAAAAATCCCTGTTCAATCAGAAAATAAGGAATCAACTTATTGCTAGACCTTCGCTAATTCACCTTGCTTTATCTTACTTTAAATGAAGCCACATAATAGAATAGAGTGATGCAATTACCACCTCTTGTTCTTTTGAATCAAAATACCATTATACAAAGCAAATAAAATTCATGAAATTAAGCATTACCATAAAGGTAGCTGTTCGAGAAACTTACAGAGTATCTAGCTCTGCCATATTTCCAATGTATTCTGGGATTGAAGCAGTCATTGAGCAATTTCTCAGAATCCTGAGAAAGAAAAGATGTAATCAATTACTAATATATTATTGTCAAAGGAATCCGAAAGTAATCAAAAAGGTTAAAACCATCTATTTGATCAGTCTCATTCAACTCACAGTGTTTTCATGTTTGTCATAGCTTGTAGATTAGGGAAAGTTGGACTCGATCCCTTCAAATCCGATATTCTCCTGAAAGACAAGACAATATAAAAAAAAAAATCAGTTTTCTCAAATATAGACTTACCGAAATACAACAATGCAAAGAGATTTGGAACAGAATGTGAAGCTATAAGATAGGGAACTTGTGCTCACAAATTTGTTAAATTTTTTAGCAGTGAAATGGTAGGGGGAATAGGACCCTCCATGGATGTTCCTTGCAAATCCCTGCAAAAGAAATTTCCAGTTGTTAAGAATGCAAAAGGTTTTATTAAGCTTCTGCTTGAGGACAACATGAGCAGATAAATGGCAGAGTAAATACTCACAATCTCTCAATGTTTGTCCAGTTCCCAATAAAGTCAGGAATCTTTCCTGACAGTTCACTTCCATCTATCCGACTGCACCAGCATATGAAACAGATGAGTACTTTAGCTCAACATGCAAATTAATATTTAACATATATATATATATATATGTTTCCAACTTCATCACTTACAAATCAGTTAAATTCTTTAAATTTCCAAATGTATCGGGTATTCTTCCTGTAAAATTGTTTGCCGAAAGAAGACTGCAGGGGTAAATAATACCATGTTACAAACAAATTTCTTCGAGTGAGCATCAAATATTGGCACCATACATAAAAGAGTGAGATTGAATATCATGTAGTAGATAAACACATATTTACAAGAAAATGTATCTGGAATAACTATGATATGTGCTAAAATGGCCAGTGCAACACATAATAAAAGAAACTCAGATAGAAGATGAAGGCATCGGTCTTACAGTCTTTTCAAGCTTCTCAAATTTCCAAGGTCTGGATGAAGAGACCCTCCTAGCAGGTTATCTTCCAGGACCCTGTATAAAGAAATTCATGTTTTATAGTAACTCAGAATTTCATTTACTGGACAAGTTGAGAACTTTGTTTCATGACTTACAGTGACTCAAGTGTCGCAATGCTGCCAATTTCCCGAGGAATCGAACCAGTGAGACGGTTTGCCAGAAGAGACCTAAGGTATAGGAGAAAATTGCAAAGAGGTTATTTATTCATGAATGCCCATATTGCAATTGCAAACTCCCTAAGATATACAAATGAACAAATAAACTTACAAACTCTGAAGGTTGGGGAGCTGAGCAAGACTTGCAGGGATTGATCCATTTATATAGTTGCGAGTAAGATCACTGTACAATGAAAGATGCTTCATCTCAGTCATTCTAAAATTCAAATTCTTAGAGTAAAAGGATTGGTAATCTTCTACAACCACATTGGTGCTGCAACAAAATTCTGCTAAGGCCTAATATGATTACAAAAACAAAAAATCTACTAAGATGTAAACAAGACACTGAAAACTTGCAAAGTACTTCACATGTAAATGTATATCATAATGAAACAAGGATACGCTGTTGTTACAATATAGTCAATCTGGATATGCTCTCTGGTAACTAAATCATATGAGAGAACCAAAAAGGAAAATACAAAAAAAAGGACAGGAGTCTATCAACTAAGAAAGTGTAACCCTAGAGAATTTGAAATAACAATAAATTTGATTAACAAGAAACATGCACATCTCACTCACATTTCGCGCAGTTGAGTAAGATTTCGAAATTCCGCTGGTAAAACTCCAGTCAAATTAAAACCCTTCAGATTGCTGTCAAAAGAGAGAGAGAGAGAGAGAGAAAAAAAAAAAAAAGCTTGATTATGAAGAAAGAAGAAGAGGTAAAAAATGATGAGCCTTCTCACAATACCAAGACTCTGCAGTTAATAGTGTGTTCATCTAAAAGTGGAGCAGAAGTACCAAACCAAGATGCAAGTTCTATATTAAGTGGTGCTATAATTATATTCTACTAATCAAAGCATTGCTTGAGACATGCCTATCTCTATCTGTTTATATCTAAAGAAAAATGTTGGATATAAGGAATCAAGCACATACAAGTTAGTGACATGACAGACGGTGCCATTATCAAATCTACAGTCGCATGTAACATTGCTTTGAATTTTGTCGCTGTCGATGGTCTGGTTCCACTGTGCACCACCGCAAGAAGTTCGATCAATGCTCCAATTCTTGATGTTCAATTTGTTGGATATTGTTTCAAGAATTTGCACTGTTGCATCATCATCAGTTAGTATAAAACACATGTTAAACAAATCATGAAATGTCTATCCGTAATAATTGGCTACTAAAACAAATTATAATTTCATGTGGATCAGCATAATTCTTTCCCTTTTTTTTTTTTTTTTTTTTATAATTTGTTTTTTTATGAAGGTCAAAACTATCTTAATTTTAAAGTACTGTGACAGACCCAAGTTTGACCATGATGTAATTAGTAGACAAGAATGGTCACAGATTTGTTTTCTCATTTCACACACTAATGTCAAACTGTCGACATTGTTTACATTGCAAGAAATAAATAAACCAATACTATAAGCTAAAAAAATCCAAATTAAAGCTTATTCACCAAATCTTCACATCTGGCATTTTACATAAGTTGACCAGAGACTATAGTAGTAGTAGAAACCAATTATTTTATGAGTTTTCCTCTGCAAAGTTTGCTAAACTAGTAGTTAAAGGTAACTCTTTAATCACATTAAACAAGAGAAGGTAATAAAGAGCAGTTGTGTTAGTGAAAAAAAACTTTGCACTTTTGAAAGCACTTCGCATATGAGCATGGCCTACTGCAACTCAGCATAAATAAATTTAGCTATATACAGAAAAATATAGTATACAAATATGGAAGGGAGGCAGGAACCTTCCACCATCAATTAAAGCCGCATTGAAGACATGCAACGTCGTGCAATAATTGTTGCTACTTGATGATAAGATCAACGTACCAAAAACGGAGAAATTTTATAATAATTAAGGAGTATAACAAATAAATTTGTTAATGATAACTCCTTGTCGAGGTATACTTGTTGACTAATTGCATAAGCATCGTTTTAATTAAAACCAAAATTGTAAAGCCAAATGAAGAATTCTTGATTGCTTTTGTTTGATTCAAAGAAATTGACTATTTTATAGAAGGAATCCCTTTTTTTAAGCAAAAACTGTAGAAATCATCATGGAGGTTAGATAGAAATATATATTTTAAACTACTGGTCCCCTGTCTGACGTGAGCCCACATTACATTTGACAAATTCCATGTATAAAAAATGAATACGTCAAATCTATGACCATGCAGATTCAGAGAAGAATCATCAGTTTCATTAATAAGTTACCAATAATACTATAGGATAATAGTGCAGCATTCTACAAATATATAATTCCCAATTTCATCATAAGATCAGGTAATTTTGTCATCTTCTTCTGGTTTGCTATCAAAATGCAGCAAAAATAGCCACTTGGCCTGGCCGCCCTTCATCCCTGTTATTTAGTTCTTTTTCCAAACGGAAACAATTAAAAATAAATAATAATAACGTTGAAAGGCTCATTTTCATTTGCTTAGCTCTATGTTAATGGGAATTACAATGAACCCCAAATGTAATAAATGTTCACTAATTATTTCTCAAAAACTGAAAAAAAAAAAAAAAAAACACACACACACACAAACACTCTGAAATACAATCGATATTTATATTTATATTTATTTCCCTGCTATTTGGTTGCAGAGAAGACAAGAGAAAAGAAATCAAAATTTAGTTTTCTGTGAATTATTTCCCCAGGAAAAGGGGAAGTTGCAATTATTCTAAAGATTTAAACTTTCTTGCTTTCTCCACCTCATTTTTTTTCCATCTAACAATTATAAAAAATAATCAAATCCTGCAAGAAATCTCTGAAATCCGAAACTTAAAATTGATGGTCCTCTAATTCTAACCAAATAGAAGATTTATAATCAGAAATTGGTCGAAACAAAACAGAGACACTAAATAAAACTGCCTAGAAACCGAATTCCTTTTTCTTTTCCTTTTTTACCCAATTCATGCAAGAAATTTCCCACATTTATATTCAAAAACTAAATAAAACGCATAGTTTGGAGATGAAGAGATAAAGAAAGGTTTTCAAAGATAAATGACAGATTCTGAAACTCAAAACAGCAGTTTCCTCCATGTTTTTGAATGAACAAGACCAGAGCATGCCTCTCAACAAAAAGTAAACACAAGAACACTTAGCCATTACGCAAACAAAACCCAGAAAACGAAACCATTTCTTTTGCCAAGTATTGTCAATCGGTGAAAAAAACAAGAAGAAAAAAAGTGGAGATTGTTGAAGATTTAGCAGTTACCTTCATCTTGTGGCAAGAGTGGAGTGACTACTTGAGCATGAGATCCAAATTTGTCAACAACAAAGCAATTCAATAACACAAAACCGAAAACAATAACAGAGACAGTCTTTGACAGTGATTGCACAAACGCCATGGTTTTAAGCATCCAAAGCACAGTTACTCTCTCTAATTTTGTAGTATTTAATATCTCAAAAAAAAAAAAAAAAAAAAACTGATCGAAGTGATGATCAAAGAACTGGAAAATGACAAGCAGTTCAGCGACAGAAACAAAGCATGTTGTTTTCTTTATTAACAGAGAGAAGAAAGAGAGTGAAGTCGTTGGAGGGAAAATAAAGAAGGGGAGGGTCGGTTTGGTTTATTTTTGGATTGTGTCTTTTTCTGGAAAGTTTCGTCGTTTATATGAAAGGGAAGAGGTCAACAAAACTCAAAAAGCAAAACAGTGCTGGTAAAAGCAAAACGTAAGCCTAACACAAGATTCAGAGACAGAGAGGGGCGATAGGAGGGGAGGTCGTGAGTGGCAACTAGGAAAAATCAAAGAAGAACAAAATAAAAAGGTGAAATCAAAGAGAACTTGCGTTTATTACCAATCGAAAAATGTGAAAACAGAAAAACACGAAAAGGCAGGCATGATTTTCAGATTTTGGGTTCTATATATATAATTGTTCAATAAGTAGCCGCCACGCAAGTGGCAAGGATGATTTTTCCTGGCAGAGAAGTTGCTGATTTAATTTCACATAGAGATGCCATTCCATTCAATATTGTAGAGACAAACTGGGGGTGTCCCACAGGTTCACATTTGCTGGTTGTTCCAAATTTAACCATCAACCAACCAGAGATTTTAGTGTTATCAGACCTGTACCGGACGGGTCGGTTTTATTGAAAATCCGGCAGCCCAAGCTACTGAACTGTTGTGAATTGATGCCAAAGACAGGATATTTAAGGAACCCAGTCAAATCTACCTGCTTAGAATAGAGATTGAAGCATTAACCTCTTTTTTTTTTTTTTTTTTTAAATAAAAATAAAATAGAATTGTAGACTATGGAACAACTTGATCTTGATACTTCCACAATCCAAAATCATGTATTTCAAATCAGTCCGTTAGTAAATAAGCTTCAATTTATAAATTAGATTTAAGATTTTATTTTTATAGTTAAAATTCTTAAGAATTTATTTTCAAAATATCCAAAAGGTACACTTTAGCCATGCCTTTATTGCTGAACCTAAGGGAAAAATAAAAAAATTCATGTACTTCAACTTAAATGTTTATTGCTTATATTTTATATGTAACAAAATATAGGTATATTATTACAAACGCTTAATGGTACGACCAATAAATAACTCACTGGTTCAATCAGTAACCCTATTAATAACTCAATAACTTGATGTGTTTACTATCCGGATCAAATTTAATGACATTGAGTAAAATGTTTGTCTACAAGTTAAGAAGTTAAAACATAAATGTGAAAATTTATTGAAGAAGAACTTATTGAGGGTAATGAGCTATAACCATTATTATTTCCTAAAACAATCTGAGTATATAAATAAATAAAATATTACTCAATCAATTATGTGGCCGATAAATTGATTTATTATTCTTTTTAATAAATAAAAATTAGTATATAGATAGTATGATAATATATAGAAATCGATTTTTTAATATTAACACATATTGAAAGAATCTCTTTGTCTTTATGGAAGGTTAGAATACATTTACGTACGTTTGAAGTTGAGTAAATAAAAATAGGACACCATTTCATAGGGCCAATCGTAAAAATAAAACCTCAAAATACCAATGAATGAATCTACTTATTATCACTTAGATCAATGAAGTTCTTAACTTTTTGGCAATAGCTAATGAGCATCCTTGGAGCACTCCTTTAAGAATTATCTAAATATATTAATTACGCTCCACTTTTTTGGGTGGATTGAATTAATTGAGAAAAGAATAAAAATCACATATTAAAAAAATCGATGATATTAAAAAAAGATATTAAATAAGTACTACTTTATATTAAAATAAAAATAAGTGTCCATATCTAAATAAATTGTCATGCTTGATTTTTCAAACATATTAAGAAAATCATTAATTGATACATCATATTATCATTCTTTATTTGTTACTTTTTAAAATACTCCCATAAAATAGAGTTTTGATTAGATGTATTGTAAAAAAAAATAAAAAAAAATACAGGATTTAATATTTTTGACTAAACAATCATTTTCAAATAAACAAAAATAAAATGGGAAACAATATCTTTAAAATTGAGAGAGCAAATTTTAGCACAAAACTAGAAAGTGTAGATTGATTAAAAACATTAATTAATGATATTAACAGGTAACTAAATGTTCGTGTGTTAGAGTAGCCCTAATTTTTTCTCAAATAAAATATTCCAAATAATGTTTTCTAATTGTATAAATGGTTAATTCTATATTTTTATTCTCCTTGAAGTTTTTCATGGTTTCTAAATAAACCTTTTAAACTAATTTCTTTTTCAATTTACCTCCTCATGCTTGAAATTTATATTAATTATCACTTTCATCAACATTTTTATTTCTAACATTATCAAAAATTCGTTAAATAGCAACAAGCATTAAATAAAAAATAAATAGCAACATTATAATTTAGCGACGGATTAGAGATGAAATAACGATGATATTTTAGCGACAAATACTAATATGTAGTTAAATTTATTAGTAAAATCTTTCTAAGAGTTTTAGAGATGGTTTAGCGATGAATTTGCTAGAAAAAGTAATGACAGAATAGTAAATCCATCGTTATTTTTAATATCACAATTTAGCAATGGATATTTCGTCGCTTAAAAACACATTCCTTGCAATTTAGCAACGGAAAAATCGTTCTCTAAAGGTGATATTTTGGGTAAAATTGAGCGAGACTTTTTGAAAGATAAAAACGCCCAATTTGTGACGGATTAACAATGAACATCGACAATTTGCAATGAATTAACAACGCACATTTACGTTCGTCGTTATATGTGAAAAAATGGCCAGCCAGATTAGCAAAATTGGTTGCCCATTTTGACACGAATTAGCGATGTATGTAAGTATTTAGTGACAGATTAGCAACGAGATCGTGTCCATCATAATTTTTTAGCCCTAATTTAACCTTTTTCTTCTTGCTTCTCCTCCACTTTCTTCTCCCTCTTCAATATTTATCTCGCTTCATAAACATTACATAATTAATTCTCAATAATTAAGCACTAATCATTCACAAATCATAGGAGAATAATTATAATAAATAAAGAATTTATGCACTACATCAAAATATCCCAAGCAGTTGTATTGTCAAGAACGGATGTTGACTATATATGGATAGACTTGTAAGTGTTATGCTCATGCTATATGATAGTAGTAGGAAATCTCACACCTATTGGCATGGTGAGGCTAAAGCAAACACTTAAGTGATTTTCGTTAGAGAACATATCATTGGATTTGACTCGCCATGAGAACCCAGTTGCCTTAGTCTATGAGAATCTCATATGAGATGGGTATAAGTGGTTCTTAGGCTTGAAATCATCACGGTTATCTCATTAAAGGATTTATATACTTTGACACTCATTTCGATGGACCTAATAAAATGTTGCACGTGAGCAATTCGTTGGGTGCACTAAGAATCTAATGGAGGTAAGTGTATGACTAAGATGAGATATGTCATTCCTTATATGCTAAATGAGTTATTAAATTTCACTTTGATGAATGCCTACCCAAGAAATCTATGACCATAGTAAAAGTACACCAATAGAGTATAGTTGATTTACTCTAAGAGTTAAGACATTTAGGAATCGAAAAAAACTTGGATGATCATAACCGAACAAGACTTATAATCAAGTTTGAGATCACACTATGATAAGCCGACATAAGGATTGAATTGTATGATAATCATGCTCGGGAAAGATAATAATGGATTAATTAATTCTTTTAGAGAATTGGGTAGTCATGATGCCTTGCTAGTGGCCAATCTTGATTTATGTATCCTTACTAGTGGCTAATCTTGATTTATGTATCAAGAGATAAAAGATGAGTCTTTTGTTTTTGATATATTACCAACATATCGAGGAGCCTATTGAGTCATACGCATAAGTTTAAGTATTCATATGATTAAAGAAAGCAAAGACAATGGAAAAAGTTTTCAATTTTGGAAAAAGGTTTCAAAAAATAAAAAGTTTCTTTAAATGAAAATTTCTTAAAATGGGAAGTTTTCTATTTTAGAAATCAATTTCCTAATTTAGAGGTTGGTTCCAAATTTGAAGTAAACAACTTAAAATGGAAATGAGTTTCCTAATTTAGGTTAAAGGGTATTTTGAAAAATTGTTTCCTAATGTGAAGTCTGTCTAAAATTATCTAAGATTATTTATTTGGGTAGTGTAAATAAATTAATTAGGCCGAATGGTTTTGGTCCAATAGGTTTAATTAAAAACCTTAAAATATTTTGATAGGAGGATAAATATTAACCTTATTGGATAATGATGAATTTTTTAAAGATACATATCAAAAGCCTATATGTAAAATAACTCCTAATCTTTTGATGATTCGAAGCAACAACCTAGAGTTCTTAATGGACTCATTGTCGCCCCTCCTTGTCCTTGGAGGACAAGGAAGTCTCTCCTATAAATATATGGGAGAGATAAGTGCGACACAAGTGAAAAAACACATAAGAAAAAAAGTGAGAGAGAATTCGACAAACAAAGAAAAAGGAGTTAGGGCACATGACTAAGAAAGGGAAAAGGGAAAAAAATAGTTTTCTTCCAAAAACCACTAGCATGCCACTTTCTCTCCCTCTCTTTAAGGTTGTCGCAAACTTGCTTGGATTAGATTTCTATAGGAAACACTACACAAATAAGAAAAGGTGGAGCTAACGAGTCTACTAATTTTGAGTGCTTATTTGTGGGTGCTTGGACCTGTATAGATCATCAATAAAGGTCGGACACTTGGATGGCTTTTCTCGCTAAAGAATTTAGATCCGTGCTATAAGAGGTAATTTTCTATCGATTGCTTTAATTCATGTATATATATAGTTAGTTGATTCAACGGTATGAGCTTAGCCTTTTAGATGGAGAAAATTTTTTATTTATTCTATACCTCTATAGGATGCATGATCCTTCGATTGTTTCTAATCGGTCCTTAATTATATATAGCGATAAAAAAATCCATTGCTATTTAACAAACTTTTTGCAATGATCATCATTTTGTGGCGATTGGTGTGTATGATAACAATCATGATGCTTCGAGTCGGGGCATTACTTCACTTGAATAAAATTAAACAACTATGCACCCCATGACATGACATGATTATTAAAAGTAATCATCTATGTATTATTTTAATGGTATCTCGTTGAATATAAGTAATTTCTATGTATTTTTTTCTTCCTTCAAAATTTAAAACAACCTTTTTATAAAATAAACATAGCGCATCAAAGTACCATAAGTTGTTGACTATGATAAATTCATGTGTTTAAAAAGAATATAATTTATAAGCACAAGTAACGAAGATGATGATAGTGCACTTACGGAACCAAATATCCAACCTATCAAAAACTAAACACAAGTTTCTGCTGCCTTAACGGAATTTTCAAACAAAACATGCTTGCTACATTGATTGCACAAGTTGTTGGCCCTCACATATATGAGATTTATGATGGTCGATTTATTTGTTTACGTTCGCTAAAAAACAAATAGTATTACAATATCCTTATGAAAATGCATGTTTCAAACCGAACCGAAAAAAAAAACATAAATTCAATTCAATTTCATCCAAGACACTTGAATAATAATATTAAATAACTTATTAAATAATATATGTCTCTTTCAATTATTAAATAACTTACTAAAATCAAACTACATTATAGTATACTCCTAATTACTCAAACCATAATGCACCCACCTAAAAATAAAAAAATAAAAAAAATGTGTCGACAAAAATTAATTTGGTTCACAATCAATTTTTTATTTTAAAATGATACACCAAAGATTTATAACGTAACTAATATGTTAGGATTTTAACTCGTGACTTTTTATTGAATGAGACTACTATCACTGAACTACAAGCTCTTTAGTGTGAACTACACACATTCATTTATATGTTGCCTCGTCTTTCTAAGACAACAATTAATTAGCACACCTTTTCTAATGAAAGAAAGACAGACAAAACTATTCATTCTTTAACACAAAACATAATAATCTGCCCCATAATTTTTTCATCTATCAAAAGTTTTTTTTTTTTTTTATACATCATAGGCCTAATGGAATTATTGGGTTACGCGTGAGAATAGTCCTTCGCATTATATAATTATTAAAAAAACTAAAGATATCATAACTCTAACTTTATTTCGCTAGGAAAGTTAGCTGAATACATAACTGTTAGGCTAAGCCTATTTGTATCATTTATCAGACTTCTGACTATGAACAAAAAATCTCAAAAATCAATATTTCACAAATGAAAAAAATTAATAACTCCGGTACAAAACATTTGATCTTTCCCGTGTAAAAATCCATTCAACTGCTGAATTATACACCAAAGACCCTCTATCCCATGAAAAAACGAAGCCAAAGAAAAAGAAATTTCCCTTGCAACTACCCGCATGAGACGGACACAGACTTTTCAAAGTCTGCACAAATGCAACCAAAAAATTAACCACACACTTACCAAAATGTGTTTTTCCTCTTCCTAAAACCGTATTTAGGAACATTGGTTTTGGTAGCATGTTCCAGCCCACTGAAACGTGACACCCAGCCTTTAACAAAGCAGCACATGCAAAAATTGTCAATTTATCTTCCTAATAACACATGTATTAAAAGCAACGTCCACAAAAACCATAAAAAACACATCAACTTTTTATCTTCTCCATCGAAAAAAAAAAAAAAATTTCCGCCTCTTTAACTATATAAAAAAAAAATTGAAAATACTGACAGCACACAAATTAAAGAAACCAACTAATCCAAAAAAAAAAAAAAAAAAAAAAAAAAAAAAAAAGCCAAAAACTCATATCTTACTTGCAGGCCATATAAAAGAAAAAAATTATTCAAGAGCCTGATCCTTCTTATTACTGAGTATATAAAGAAAATATTTTAACGCAACAATTGCATTGTAACGCCGCCTTTCTTTTTTAACTGCAACCGCACCAAAAAATAACCTTCTCTCCTAGCACAGTTGACAGAAAAATCACGAGTCTAACACCATTTCTGTGTGCTTTTCTGTGTGCTTTCCTTAGTCTCATCTTTAATTTGGAAGGAAGATGAGGAAGCTATCCATGATCCATCCTTCGATATGCTTCTGTGCACGTGACTGCTTTGAGAGAAAGTGGACACATGTGTTTGGCTATCTTGTGATAAAAGATCGAAGGCTTTGAACCTTGCCTCCTGGCTCAAGCTACCGCGGTTGATTGTCGGAGCTTGAACTGGAATTTTGCCCTCAAGCATTCTCACTACGGAAGACATTGATGGCCTTAGAGTGGGAGATAAGTTGGTACACAAGAGAGCCAAGTTAAGCATCATCATTGCCTCTTCTCTCGAGTAGCTTGAACCAATACTTGGATCCACAAGCTCTAGAAGGCTGTTTCTCTCATGCAGGACATAGGCCTTTAATTACATGTCACGGGGATAAAGGAGTTAGGATTCATGCAAAAGATAGATAGCTAGCTAAAGGAGCTGAGGAAATGTCAAGAAATGAAAGGGAAAAAAGAGAGAAGAAAAATCAATTTCCATTAGTTATGCTCGATACTGTATGGTCAGTTCAAATGTAAAATATGTAGGACAACATTCTGAAAGGAGATGAAATATATTACCCAATCAAGAAGATAAACAAACTCCTCCTTTGGCCTTTAGCTCGTATTGCTCTTCCCACTGACAATTTCTAAAGCAACAACTCCAAAGCTGTAAACATCTGCTTTATCTGTTAAGTAACCCCTCATTGCATATTCTGGAGCCATATAACCTCTGAAGAGAGATGATATAGCAGTGAATGGTGAGCAATTGGTCACGAGATGGAGAAATAATTTTGTATGTCATTTTTCCTAGCAAAATCACACACTACAAGACATGCATGATATGTTTGCATTTTAGAATTTTTCAAAAGTAATATCAACATTGTAAAACACTACACTCTATTGTACCTCCGACACACTGCAGTTATAAGCAAAGTTTATTTACCCCTTCTATTTATAAAGTCAAAGAAATTAAGTTGAGATCAGAGCAAGGGAGGGAGAGATAACTCACATTGTTCCAGCTATTCGTGTGCTTATATGAGAGTTTTCTTCTTCATCAAGCTTGGCTAACCCAAAGTCAGATATCTTGGCATTTAGGTCCTTATCAAGCAGTACATTGGTTGCCTTTATGTCTCTGTGTACAATTTTCAGCCTTGATTCCTCATGAAGATAAGCTAATCCCTTTGCAATACCCAACAATATCTTCTTTCTTGTCTGCCAGTCCAATTTAATCTGGGGTTCCTTGTTCCCTAATAACGAAGATAAAGAGGAAGAAGATTAGGGTAAATAGCTCAATCACATCCTCATTGCATACACTTAAGTAAACTGATTTACAAAGGAGTTCATGTTCGTCCATTAAGCAATTACCAAAAAGTGCGCGCGCAAGACTATTGTTTTCCAAGTATTCATACACTAACAACAACTGGTTTCCCTCAATACAACCACCATAAAGCTTCACGAGATGGGGATGTTGCAAGGCAGATATCATGCCTATCTCATTCACAAATTCACGATTTCCTTGTCTCGATTTGGATGATAGTTGCTTAACAGCAATCACAGCACCATCTGACAATACACCCTGAAATCAAAGGTACAGACTCAAATGTCAGAACATTTGAAGATGATATCACTTCCCTTGAATAAAATATGTTTTTTTTTTCAAGCATGATAGATTTCATTCACGTTCCAAGACATTACAGTGTGTGTAGGCAGTGCATAGCCTAAGTTAGTAGTAAACTGAAAATGCATGAATACCTTGTAAACTGGCCCAAATCCTCCTATCTTATTTGCGGAGTCAAAGTTATTGGTAGCATGTTTAATTTGTCTTAAGGTGAAATAACCTGTTTGGAGCTCCAGGCCACGAAGTTCTGTGACAAGAAGAGAATCTCAAAATCAGCAAGAGGGGACAAATCAAAAGTGCTATAACATGCGCACAATCAAACAAGTGAGATACTTGTGGCATTAGTCCTACCTTCATCAACAAGGTCCTTTCCCCCAAAGTAACCTTTCGTTCGAAGGAATAGCAAAATCAGTGCAGCAAGTACACATGAAGCAGCTACAATGCTGATTACAACTCCAACTGATAATCCTCCCCTCTTTAAGTCTACAAGTAGAGAAAGAAATAGTTAAATGGAAAGTTCGTAGATGGAAATCAATAAAACTTTGAATATGCCATGACTTACTTGGTGTCACTGTGATGGCAGATATGAGAGGTCCATAGACACCTCTGAAAGGAATTTCATTGGTACCTTTGCCTGCCCAATACAAGTGTATCTCTAGTGTGCTACCCTTAACATCTATGTCATTAAAGTTCATAATGGTGGGAATACCAACTCCTCCTGCTTTCTTCATAATATTGAAATTCTTCTCAAATAAGATCCCCTGTGGAAAAAAGTTCAAAATAATAACCTTCACAAGTTTCAAAAAGTAGTGAAAACTCTTTTTGTAGGCATAATAAAAAATGTAAAGGGTCCAACAAAACAAATGGTGGGGCTCATGAAGGTATCTAGAGATTAAAATCATAAAAAATAAACTAAAATCTTGGATGAACATACCTTTTGAAAATCATGTTGCTTACTTGAATTGATATATCAAATATGCGCCTTCCAAGGCTGCTATATGTCTGATCATTAGAATACATAATTTCCGCAAAGTGGAGCTGCACTTTATACTTGCCATTTGGCAAACAGAGGGCATAGTACTTGAGTGATTGAGGAGCAAGGCGAGCAGTTTCATAAACTCCTTTCACATCCAGAGCAAAATCATTTTTTGCCACGAAAAGAGCTGAAGAATTATCCATAAAAGTCCCAGAACTTCTATGACCCCAGCTTTCCGATTCAAAGGAAAATGCAGCTGGCCCTCCTTCAGATGAGTCTTCTTCATATGTATTACCATCAAAAGGCACAGTGCTCCCTCCACAGTTTATGAACAAGGAACGATCTGCAGAACAATCGATATCCTTCAACTGGGCAGTAACCATGCTGATTATATGTAATGACTATTTCATGAACATCAGAACTGATTTTTTTTTCTTTTTATACTTACATTCAGGTATTTTTGTGCAAGGAAGATCCTTTGTGAAGCACCACTGATCACTCCTAAAAGACAAGAATTCAATTTGTCAGTAATTCATAGTTCCAGAAATTTTACATGCCATCTTAGTGAAGGAGGAACTTACTTGTTATTATGTACATAACTAGAAACTAAGTTCCTGTTGAATTTAAAGTAGAATTTCAGTTAGCAACATGAGACAAATTAGGAAGAGAAAACAGATAATGAGCAAAATAATGCTTATACTTTTTCCTGCCCTTGTTGACAACTGCTATTAGAAGCTAACCCGGTAAAATTGTTGTAAGACAAATCCCTGAAATAGAATTTCCATGGCATGGGTAATACAGTTGTTGATTGATGAAAAATAAAGATTGATGTACTTCTTGTATGACGGGACATAAAAAACTTCTTTGAATTCTATCGTGAGTATGAATAACATTGTCACCAAATAGCAATATAAAGATTCATTGCCTCACACGCTTTTCCTTGTGCTAAATGCCCAATTAGGCACTTCTCCAGTAAATAAGTTGTCATTCAAAACCCTACACACATATTAAACAAGAATTCAATCAACAAGCTGCCAATACGAGGGAAAAAAGAAAAAAAATTAAGGGTCCAGTGTGTTTCAGCGTGTACACATATTGACTTACACATGTACGCCTCTCAAATTCTTTAATGAGTCAGAGATTTGGCCTGTCAACTTGTTGAAGCTCAAGTCACTGTAACGAAATATATCTAAATCAATGAAGGCATAACATTTCTAGTTTGTGACTCAGGTGTTAAGGAAAGGGGGAGAGAGAGTCACAAGTTCCAACCATGGGACCATTTTTAAAGGTGTTCAAATTAGCCAACCCTGAGATGTTATATATATATATATGTGTGTGTGTATGTATGTATGCATGCATGCAGAGCCTATAGCAACTCTCTCTTTGTTCCACAAAAATAAGCAAGGTATCAACTCGTTGCTAGATCTTTCATGAAAGCCAAATGATGGAATAAACTGATGTGAATCATTTGCCACTTTTGGTTTCTTTTGAAATCAAAATAACATTATAGCAAAGAAATAAAATTCATGAAATCAAGCATTTCCATAAAGATAGCTGTTAGAGAAACTTACAAAATCTTCAACGCTGACATATTTCCTATGTAGAGTGGGATTGAATCAGCAATTAAGCAATTTCTCAGAATGCTGTCCCAAAAATTGTTTGATTTATTATAATTAAGAGAATCCAATAGTAATTACACAGGCTTTTCAATACATAGGAATCGTGATCATGGTCATTCAACTCACAGATTTTCCATTTTTTTCATGTCCTGTAGTGTAGGGAAAGCTGAACTTGATCCACTCAAATCGGATATTCTCCTGAAGAACAAGACCGCAGAAAAAATCAATTTCTTCGTGTGTATGAACCTTCCTAACATCAGAAGGGTAAAAAATTAATGTGCATATGAATGAGAAGCTGCAAGCAAGAAAGAACTTGTTTGGGCTCACAGATCTATTAAATTTGTTAACAGTGAAATGTTAGATGGGATAGGACCCTCCATGGATGTTCCTCGCAAATTCCTGTGAAAGAATATACAGTTTGTAGGAATGAAAAATGGAAATGAAAATGAGATTTCAGTTAGCTTGTCCTAGAGGATAGCATGAGCAGATTGATGGAGGAAAAAAAAAAAAGTAAATAAATACTTACAATCTTTCAATTTTGGTCCAGTTCCCGATAAATTCAGGTATCTTCCCTGACAGTTCGCTCCCATCAATCCCACTGCCGCAATAACTATGAAACTTGTGAATAATGTAGCTCAAAATGTTAAATATGGAAATGATTGCAGCCCACTTCATCACTTACGATTCAGTTAAATTCCTTAAATTGCCAAATGTCTCTGGTATCGTTCCTGTAAAATTGTTTGCAGAAAGAACACTGCAGGAATAAGAAATACCAAGTTACAACTTCCTCCGCAATCAGCCAACAAATATCAGTACCGTAGAAACAAGATCGAGATTGAACATCATGCGACAGACACACACATCTACAAGGCATGCGTGGTATAAGGTAATATGAAGGCATTATACTCTTACAGTCTACGTAATCTTCTCAATTTTCCAAGTTCTTCAGGAAGAGGCCCTCCTAGCAGATTATCTTCCAGGACCCTGCAAGATGCAATTCAACGTTAACGTTCAACACTACAATCTTGGTGTTTAATTTAACAACTTCGTTTTGTGACTTACAGCTCCTCCAGTGTGGTAATGTTGCCTATTTCTGGAGGAATTGGACCGTTGAGACGGTTTGCCATAAGAGACCTAAGGAATAGAAGAAAATTGGTAAACAGATTAACTTATTCACGAAAAGCTATGTCGGAATAGAAAAACTCCCTCAAATATGCAGAACGCACAAAAACTTACAAAATCTTAAGGTTAGGGAGCTGTCCAAGTCTTGCCGGGATTGTTCCATTAATATAGTTGAGAGTCAGATCACTGTCGAATGAAAAATAATGATGTAATTAATAAACTTGATTAAGAATTGTAGAATATGCATGCACGTCTCACTTACATTTCAAGCAGTTGAGTAAGGTTTCCAAGTTCCTCTGGCAGAACTCCATTCAAATTAAATCTCTTCACCCTTCTGTCAAAAACAAAAAATTTAAGAATTAGTTAGTGAATAGAAAGAAAAGAAGTTGCATGTATGTATGTCTGCTTGGGTTCTTATTGTTAAAGGAGCAGCAAAAAATAAGGTTTACATTAGAAAAACATGTCACTAGCTATAACTTTATTCTACTCAAGTCAAGAAACAATATACATGTTTGTGACATGACAAACGGCGCCATCATCAAATGTACAGTTGCATGTAACACTGTTTTGAGTACTGAAGTCGGTTGTGTGGTTCAAATGTGCACTGCCACAAGAGTTTCGATTGATGGTGTTCCAATCCTTGATGTTCAACTTGGTGGATATTGTTCGAAGAATTTGCACTGTTACACACAATTCAGTCACTTCAATAGTCATCCATCAAATCAAATATCTATCGTTTATGTAAAAGCCTTGCTAAACACAACTACAAAATGCTGATAATAATTAATGCATGTCAATTATTCACTGCCCCTACAAAAAGTAAAAATAAAAAATCATTTGGCATTTCATTGATTAATAGGTGTGATTTCCCCCATTAGTAACTGAAAACACTTGGATATTTACATGATTCAATTATTGAGTGTACAAGGGAAAAAAAAATCCAAAATACTCATAAAAACAAGGAAAGAAACTTTTAAAAAAAAAAATTGTCCACAGGACCAAAACACTTGTACATAGGACAAAAACTATAGAAAAAATATTATTACAAATTCTTTTTTAAGGCTAAAATAAAATAAAAATATTATTACATAAAGATTAATTGCTAAGGCTAACAAAATATATATATATATATATATATATAAGGAGGGGATATTTTATTAATAGCACCTCGGCGATAGAGCACCAGGGAAACAGATACAGCAAAGAGAAAATATTAATCCATATGATTATTTTATTTTATTTTATAATTTTTTTATTAAATACTTGCATTCATATATGTATAGAGTTGTTACTTAATATCTAACTATTATTCTCTCGAGTTTAAACTCAAAATATTCCTTTTTTTTTTGTGAATTAAAAAAAAATTTCACTAAATAATTTTTTTTCCTTTTTATTTTTTTATTTTTTTATTTTTAATAGCATTTCATTCTCTCGTCTCAATTATCATATGATCCTCATATTACTATAGCTACAATATATTTTAGTTTTAATAGTGAAACATGCTCCTAAAACTATATTAATTTTTTGTGCGAAACCAATGAATATTTCATATGCTTATTTGATTTTCTTTTAAAATGGCCTACACAAAGTAAAGTCTCAACAACATATAAAAGTCTAAAATTAGGTGAATAAGACCTTTAAAAAAAAAAATTGAATGTAAAACTTATTAATTTGTCAGCTAAATAAGTAATTCAAATTTTATTTTAAACACAAAAAATTACATATATACAATTTTGTATGATCAGAGCAAGTATACATAACTAATTAATAAACATGTAAGAAATTAGATATATAGACTAATCTTCCTCCTCTCGTTTTGACGAATACCATTCTGATTGCGAAAGAGAGCACGTTGCATCATGCAGGAACAAACTAAGGTAGATATATAATGACGTAGGAAATGTGGTCGGTAGCAGCTGCGGAAAAGTCAAAGAACAAACTAAAGATGAAAATAAGTGAAAATAAAAGATCTTAGTGAGTAGGTAAGCTTCATTTTTATCCTATAATAAATTCAACAATATTACGCACACCGCTATTCTTATAATTTAAAATTTCCAATACGTAGTTTTTCTAAACTTTAATATCATCCATGATTAGAGATGAAAATTTCATTCGATCTATTGATTAGCTAGTACTCCACATCATCTACTCTGGTTCTTTTTTTTAAAAAAAAAAAAAGAAGAAAAAAATTCTTTTATTTAGTTTTCTTAATATATAAAATGTACACTTGCAATTGATACACATGCGAACGTTCAACAACCCACTCCTCAAAACAAAAATTATATATGAAAACTTGATAATATTTCTTCAAACAAAACATCATTTGACATCTCTTCGTTCTCGTCTTGTAAAATGCTCAAGAATTTTATGCTCACATAAGAAGAAGATACATAACAAATTAAATATTAAACTGCAATTAAATTTATAATAAACTATAATAGTTTGTAATGGTTATAATAATAAATAAAAATTAACTAACAAAATTATGATTAAGTCAAAAAAATTTAATATCAATTTGAAACACATTAGTATGTAAAAATATATTTCAACAATCCCTCGCATTATTCAAATTGATATATGTTTGAACAATATAAAAACCAATTTGTCATATATATATATATATATATATGAGGAAAATCTCCGAAGAACAAGTACTTTGAGGAGTATGAAATTATAATGCATCAATAGTGGTTCCTTTAGGAATACAATTTTATATTGTCATCAAACATAGTGCTGAAGCATAAGTCTTCATTTGGTTTTAGAATTTGTACGGGCTCGTATTATCCTCTTAAATTTTAATTTTAAAAAAGAATGTAGCGGTGAATCAAAATTCATGATTACTTGATAAAAAAGAATGAGATATCATGATTAAAAAAAAAAAAAAACATTAAACCTAAGAAGTTAAATGGTAGGTGATGCTTAGGATATACTTTTATATTATTATTTAATAATTAACCACTACATAGAATAGTTTTTTTTTTTCCTTCCTCTCGCTATCTTTCTCTATAAAAGCAAAAGCCTAGCTTCAGACCCATCAAATTAGCAAGAAATCACTTCATTCTCTTACTTTCTCTCTTCAAATTTCCCGAGAAAAACAAAAAGAATCCATCCAAGAAATCAACCATGCAGAACGCAAATCCCCTTCAAATTCTAGCAAACGAATTTTCAGGCTCCAAGACGACAACTTTCGTGCAGTTTTTTTTTATAGTTCTTTCAATCTGCGTCTCATTCTATTTCCCTCGATTTCAGGTACTCACTTTCTCTCCCTTTCTTGCATTTTCCTTTCCTTTGCCTTCTTCACTGGCATTTTCTTTCAATGTCCATTTCATGCAATTTCAAGGGTTTTGAAAGTCAACTTCAGTTCTTTAAGGATTATTATTACAGTCATACAACTTTCTTTCACTTTCTTACAATTTCTTTCTCTCTTCATTTTAATGTAGTTTATGGGTTTTGGATCAATTTTGATTCTTTAAAGATTAGTCCTTTTCTTGTATTGGCTTCTTATATAGGTGCTGGCGCGGCCATTGCGCGATTATCCTCAACTTTCTGATACTTCTGCTGAAGTTTTTCACATTCCCGAGGCTTTCAAAATGGATTATAAGGGAATGGAGAGGAGCTTCAAGATCTTTGTGTACCCACAAAAGAGCACCGTCTGTGACAAACCGAGGAAGCTTAATGGCAAGTATAGGAGTGTTCTTTTATAAGAATCTCAATCAGAGTCGGTTCTTAACCAAAGATCCTGCTAAGGCTCCCCTTTTCCTCATTCCCACTTCTTGTCATTCGCCGCCTACTTAAGGGTGTTCGTTCATTTATTCGATTCAGTTTCGAAATATTTTAGATGGTTTTTAACTAATTAAATTTTCAAAAAAAAAAAAATAATAATAATAATAAATAAATAACTGAAACCAAATCGAAACGTTATTCGGTTTTTGGTTTGGTTTCGAAATATTTATATTTCAGGTGTTCGGTAATTCGATTTTTATCCGTTTTATTTTATTTTTACAAATAGCTGATTCTATTAAAGTTCTTAAAATCTCTGTTTAAAATGAGTTTTTTTTTTTTTTGACTACTTTTAGGAAACTAAGCTGCGTAAAAAAAAAAAAAAAAAAAAAAAAAAAAAAAAAAAAAACCAAATGCATCGATAGATAAACGAATAATAAATTATCTACTCAAGAAGGCTTGAATTTGAGACGATAGAAAATCTATCAACATCTTTGCTATTTTATATACATCTATACTTATAAGAGAGATTAAAAAAAAGCATGTATTAAGCTATGGGAGAAAGTACATCCAGGGGAGAATGGCTTTTCAATTTAGGAAAGTATTGAGTTATCTAACTTAAAAAAAAAAAAAGATATATATATATATACACCTTAGTAGGCGAAGGTATAGCTTCTATGTGGTTTTTTTTATATTGTTGTAGTTGTTGTTTCGATATGGCCTCGGTTCTTGAAAGGGGTGAGACATGTCATGTGTCATTAAACTCTTCAATTACAATGGCTTTCATTAAAAAAAAAAATTAAGTAATGATTAATTGATAGTTGATCGCTAGAAATAACGTAGATTGAACAACTTGGATTACATTTGCCAAATTTCCAAAACTTTGGAGTTTAGATTGCACAATTTGATACTTTGGGTATGAAATTATCAAATTGCAATACTTTAAAGGCAAAATATACTCGTAAAACCGTCAATCTTGTATATAAACACATCACTTTTCCATTCTTGATTAGCGTGGATAATACCATTTGTATGCACACCTAACACACTTCTCTCGTCGCATGTGAGTTTGACCACTTATGAATAAAACTCTCCTCCTAACAACATTTTAAATAATGTGAGTGCAACAACTAGAACACCAAACTTTCTTACTACTTAACCATTACGGAGTTAAGGAACCATTGAATTAACCATCAAGGATGGAACTAGAAAATTTTAAATGGGGGTGTCATCATAAAACCTATAAAGACAAACATAAGGACGAGGCAAATTAGAAAGTAAATATGTAATTTTAATGGGGTCAAATGCATAATTATTATGAAAATTTTTAAAATTTAAGAGTTAAAATTGAAAAAAATTTAGAACCTTAGGGGTGATATAACCCCATCAAAGCATGATATAGTACCATCCTTGTCAACCATAATGGGCACTAAGCCTAGTCAATCACTCAAGAAAAACCATATACTCTAATACTAATTTGTTAGAGAGTAGCTTGTGTTCGATAGATGCATAGACCTTCACATTTGCATTGGCCTTGATGCATAAGGGCATACACACAATGATGGAACCTCCAATCGAAAGTCCAAAATATTAAGTTACAAGTTCATCTTAATGTACCTAACACATACACATACTATATTGGGTCCTACCACCTATATCATTTCATCTATCTTATGTAATGGACAACAAAATTGTTTAGGTTTAAAATTCAAGGCATCCTTGAGTTTAACACATTAAAAAGCAATTTAATTTTCTTAAAACATAAACCATTTCATTAACCTTATAGCAATTAACATACCAAAATGATTTTGTTTTTAGCCTTTAAACTCTAAATCTATACATATAGTATGTACTTTAGCAAACTCGACTCAATCCCGAAGCATCCTCCATGCCACACATATCTTTATGCATCATTTAGTTTACCTACACACTATAAGATAAACTATGAGCTAATACTTAGTAAGTATACTCATGTATGAATAGAAGAAAATACATTTTTGTGCTACTAAAATACATTTTTTGTGACTCGAGCGCACCCTTCGAATGTCTATAAATTTGGCCCTCAATGAAACCCGTTGTTTATGAAAAATCATAAAAAGCGAGTAGAGTTATTCCATTATAATTCTCATAAAAGCATGATCAATCCTTTTTGTGAGTTCATCTTTGAAATCATGTCTACCTGTTCGTCTTTTGAAAACATGCATTTGACTTTCTCTTTGTATGTATAAAAATATGATAAAAACATTTTCATGGTGTGGATGCAATCTAAATGCAAGAACGTATGTAAACACTTAACATATAACCAAGTAGCATCAATTAAGCATATAAACTAAAATTATCAAGTGACTTAACAAGTGTTCAATAATCAATAAACATATGAATACATAATCAAGTAATATCAAGCATGCATTGAACCCGAATCCATCAAATGCTTCACATGTATTCAATCATCAAGCTACCATATGAACGCAAACCCGTTAGCATCTATGTCTTATGGGAACATGAATTATACTTACTAAACATCAAGTAAACACATGACTACAACATCAAGTATACACATCTCTATAATTGATCAATCATCAAGTGACCATATAATCACATATATTCAAGTAAACATATAATCTCATATATTCAAGTATCAAGTAATCATACCATCACAATCATAATTCTTTAAATGAAAAAATAAACATATTTATCCATAACAATCATCAAATAGACCTATAAACACATAAATCTATAAACGTATAAACATAAAAACATAACAATCCTATGACACCTTTATCTTGTGGTAAGTTAAGACTATACTTACCTTAGGATTTAGCTATGGTTAAAAGCACCCTAATGCTCCCAAAGATTTCCCCTTTCCTTTTTTTTTTTCTCTCAATCAAATATCTCTATTTTCCTTCCTCTCGACCAAAATCTTTCTTCCTTTATCTCTTCCTCTTGACTAAGTTTGCTTCCTTTGGTAAATTTATTTTTCTCACTTGTTTCTTTTATGTTTACTAAGGCTAACATATCACAAATGACCAAGCACTCCTCCCTTTTATAAGCCACATTTGCTTACCTTAGAAGAAGACGTAGAACTTTTCCTCTTTTTTATTCCCTCTTTTACCAACTTAGAAGATTCTAGAGAGCCTAGATGTTTTCTTTCCCTTTTCTTCCTTCTCTTCCTTCTTGCTCTTTTCTTTCCTCTTAGCCAACTTTAGAAAGGTTCATGGAACTTTAGAATTGCCATTTGTTAATTAATACTTAGATATTAAGTATGGAACATTTAGATTTTAAGTATGGAGTACCTACACTTAGATTAAGTATGAGACACTTAAGCTAAGATGTTTTTCTAGATTTTTCTAAATCAATACTTGTATGAGATACTAATTAAGCTTCGTTTTTAGGTTGACACATGTGTAGGACACTTGATTAAGTTATATCTCTAAGTCCCCAAGTTTGACAATTTTAACAAACTAGTCACTTTACTTTACCACTTAACTCACTTAAATTTCTAATTTTTTTAATTATTACATTCAAGTCCCTTAGTCTCCTACACACTCACATCACTTATCAACATGAACTTACACATCCAAGAATTCATCAATGCAAGTACCGAATATAACATGCACGTACTTAATAAATAAACGCACTAATGCATAGGAATGTTTAAAGCTTCGGATATTACAAAAAGTATGATGCACAAGTCCTTTTGTTTTTTTATCTCTTTCTCATGTGTTAAAAATAATACTTGCCTCTCGTCATCATCTTTCCCGACTCTACTACTATCTTTTTTTCTTTCTTTCCCCCGCCCACATGGCTACTCCAATTGAAGGTGTTAAGGAACTTGCATCTACTACTACTTTATCAAATTCAACCCTTAATCCACCACCTATATCTCACCTAATTATTTCCCATCAAATCTTTGTCAAACTAAGCTCTTCTAATTTCCTTATTTGGTAGACTTAGCTTCTGCCACTTTTATATAGCCATGCTCTTGTCCATCACATAAACGAAACTATGCCACCTTCTTCTTACACTTTTGATGACAATACCACCGATCCTCCCTATACCTTGTGGTACTCGTCAAGACCAATTGGTACTTGATTAGAATATTTCCTTTTTGACTCGAATCTATTCTCACCCATGTTATTAGTGCATCCACTACCAAAGAAGCATGGCAATGGTTGATTGTCTTATGCCTCGGATTCTAAAACCTAAATTCAATAGCTAAAGGCTCAACTCCATCAACTCTAACGAGACAATGATGATGTCTTCATATATATACAAAAGGCAAATGCCTTATCTAATCATCTAGCTACCTTTGATAATCCAATCCTTAAAGATGACCTTATTGATGCTATTGTTACAAGGCTTGACAACATTTACAAGCCATTTATTTGATAATTAGAGGCTAGACTTATTTTAGTCTTATTTGATGACTTGTTTAGGCTACTCCTTAGTAAGGAACGACAACTTTCACTAGATACCACAAGTGCACGACCTCATCTCTCGCCACCTCAACTCATCTTTCTACTCATGTTGGTAGTTTTCATCATAGTCATGGTCATGGTCTAAGAGGATATATCTAGTGACATAATGGTCTTCCTTCAAATAACTCTCGGCCATTCTCTACCTCTAATTATTCACTTACTTCTCCAAGTGCTTCTCAAGATTATACTACCTAAAATGTTAATCCACTTATCTCGCCACAATTGTTAGGGTAATGAGCATGTAGTAAGATAATGTCCTTCACCTTGCCCATAAAATAATTCGAGTAACCATCATGATATCCATCCATAGGTTATTTTGTTGCTACTAGATCGCTAACTTCATTGCCATAGGTTTTTTATTTTAAGGCCACATATCACCTCACGAGTAAATATGGAAACTTGGCATATTAATTAGAATACACTAGACATGAAAAAGTCACTATTAAAAATGGTAAAACACTCTTGATTTCTCATATTAGACGAGCTTCTCTTTCTCT